CACTCCAAGCATTTTGTAGCGAATAATCAAGGAGGAATTATTCTAAAGAACGTTACGAATACAAGGTATTGCTCTCAATTACGCTTTTCCCATATGCTGGCTATAAAATTTGTATTCAGTATGAAGCCAGCAAGAGTTGAACATATAGAACATATGTGTTCATACAGGAATTTGCACAGGTATTTAAATTCTTTCTCTCATGTCACTACTTTTAGCAAAAAATTATTTAGTTTATGAGGTTTATTAGTAACAGGTATGTGTGTGGCTGTTGATCTACATTAGTCAATATCATTGTTATCTGGAGAGAATAAAGGTCACAAATTTCCAAACTTTTTCCCTCTCCAAGGAATGCCCCAAAGAAAAGATCATTTCCAGGGCATTTGGGGTTTTCTAAAGATTTTCATTTAAACTTACAAAAGATCTCAGCTAATAATAGAAGCAGTAGAATTTTCAATTTTTCCTCAGTGCAAAAAAAAAAGACTACAGGATTTTTAAAAATTTTTTTTGTTTGTTTTCTGATTGGATATTTAAGTAAGATTATATCAAAATGAGGTCTGATTACGTTCACTTCCTTTAGTAATATATACTTATTTATATTTACTAAAACGTATTTGAAAGGCCTCAAGAAGGAATGATACTGCCCATTTCATCTTTTCCACTCCCCTCACCTTGCAGGTGAATTACTGTATAGTGTCTACTTTTATCGGAGTGCCGGGGAAGTATGTGATCATGTTTCTCTCGCATATTGCCATCTAACTGGTTGAAAGGAATTTCTGGATTTCTTTTTATTAAAAACACTTCCTTTCTCTTTCATCTTTTTTTCTCAACTACTAAATTTACGTAGCTAACTTGGTTTCCTATTAGTTTTTTGACCTGGCCTTTTTGCTTTACTGTTTTGTCTCCTTTCTTGTTTTAAAGGCTTTTTTTTTTTTTTTTTGTATGTATGTTGGTGGTTCTTGTTTTATCATTGTGAGGTGTTAACTTGCACTTCAGATTGATGTGTAAGATTTTGTTTGAACTCTCTTTTAAGAGTAAACACTTATTTTCCATTGCTGGGCAAGGTCAGTTTAAGTTGAGGCTGTGAATAATCAGCATCTCTTTTGTTTCCCGGAAAATTCTTCCTAGTGTCCTTTAGGAACACACTCTGTTCTAAATATTGATTTTTTTTTTTTTTTTTTTGGTTCTGTTTCTGTAAAAGGAAGGAATTCAACCCTTCTGAATCTATGTTGTATTCAGCCATCCTTCTCAGCTGTCCTGCTTAGACAGCATTTAAGTTGAAGCATAATCTGAGCATAAAATTTAGTGTCTGTTTTCATAGTCTACTGGGAAACAATGATTAAGATTGTATTTTCATGTAAAAGGTAGATCTCTAGGAAAAAAAAAGTCACAAAAGATAAAACTCAGTAATATGTGGGTAAAGACATAAAGGTGTATTCTAGGTTTGAAGATCACTTTTGTTTAGTGTCCAGTCTAAACTAAATATAACACTTATTAAGCAGCTAAAATCTACTCCTAAAATATTTTTTATTTTTGGAAAGTGTTTATTTCTTAAGAATGGTTTTTGGGTTTTTTATTTCAGTGCAGCTTTTATATTCTTTAGATATGCTTGAGCACGAAGAGTTTGCAGTCATCATTTTTAGCTATGAGTAACTTGGAAATACGTCAGATAGGATTTACCAAACTAAATGGAGTCGTGCACAGTAGAGACATCTGTGTCTAAGCCAACTTTGTAGACTGCACTTGCAGTCAATAGAGAAAACAGGCAATCTTGGGTGAAATTTGTTTTTATCCTAAAGTAGATGCCTACAACAGGATGGATGAATAGTGCCCTAGAAGTACTTAATTGTTCCCTCTGACTCCAGGTTAGCAATTCCTAATGTAGAAAACAACGTTATGTGTGTATAAAGTGATGTGAACACCACCAACAGCGTTGTTCCTTTTAAAAAACGCGCTAATGTGTTTGCTTCTATAAAATTCCTTGAGATCACATTCTTTTTCCTTTAAGTGATGTTTTCAATGTTGAAGTTAAAAAAAAGAAGAGGTGGAGGGCAGGGAGATTCCATCTAGTTTTGGACTGAATTTTGTTCTAGTTCATGTGGTGCTAAAGCATTTTCTTAAAACATGCACATCTCAGTTGAAGAGCACTCTTCTTGATGCATTCTTGAAATAGGAAGATGGCATCTTTTAAATAGGATTATTTAATCCTCAACTATTTGCTTAAAAAGGTTTTAAATTGGCAATTCTAGACACACTTTTTCCATGAAATTTTTCAAGCAACCTTATTTTTATGTTGCACATCACTAAAACCTAAGCAATTACTATTTTCTGCCTATCTCAGATAAGACTTAAAGCAACTTTATTAATTATTGCATTTCATTACATTTTTCAATCCTTTTGTAGTTTGGCTTACAGTAATAGGCCAAAATTAATTAGTATTGCTTGCAGTGTTGCTACACAGGTTTGAAACATTATTGATTATGTTTTAGTTCTATGTATTTAGATACAGATACTGATATTTATTGCGTTGTTAGCAAGGAAGGAATATTTTAGGCAGGAAGGACCATGTAAACTCCTTGCAAATTGGAGCATATATGATTTTACATCTGTTCAAAGTAGGCAAATCTTCAGTGCTTAAGAGAACATTCAGAAGACATATACACTGAGTATATGGTAGAGAACTCAGATTATATAATTACTAATCTAGAAAGCATTATATATATAAATGGTGAGTACATTTTGAAAAAAGGATTTAGCCATCACAGTATGCGCTAAAGTCGGAGTGGCGCTGAGGAGCCTCTTGCCACTTCACTGCTTGGCAGTATCGAATTAGAAGAAGCATTTACGTGAGGTATTAGGGAGCTGTATTGTCATGTTACTTCTCATATAATGTATCTGTTTTATGAGGATGGAGAAATGTGAAAAAAAGCAGCAACGTTGTGCTTTCCCAGACCATGCAGAACAAATTGTGTTCGCGTTACAGCTGGAGCTTCAAAGAGAGGTGCTTTGAGTAATACCCTTTCCCCTAGGCAATAACCTGTAACATGGGCAACACCTCATAAATAAATCTGGCATTTGTGGGACAGAGGATATAGTTCTCCAGCTGGGAACTGCTGCTATGCTTTGCATATCCTGCTTCCTTCATTACAGCTTGGCAAAGCCCATTCCCTTTCCTGTATCTTAGTCCTTTGTGTCGACCTATATGTTTGGGTTTCTGCTGGTGGTTCCACATTCTGCATGCTTTCCTCAAAGTGGAGCGAAACGCTGTCCCATAAGTAACCGAGATTATGGGCAAGCCTCCAACAGTCTCTGTGCTCCTGAGAAACTGGTTCCTTCTGTTGGTGATAAATCATGTTTTGATGTCCGTGTTCTGAATTGTTCTTCATGTTGTAAACTTGGGTTGAAATGTTCTCCCATAAGAGTTAGCTTTTCATATTGGGCTGGAAACTCCTCATCTTTGTGTAGCAATTTGTTTTATTATAACCGATGGCTTTTAATTGTACCTCCCATAATGAAGAGCTGACTTAATACTCTGTGCTAATCTTGTTATGACTTATAAAAGGTAAGTAGTTTCTCTAACAATTCCTAAAGATCACGGTAAAATGTTAAAGGATTTTTATTTAAATTTTCTTTTCTCTTTATTTTTCACGTTAATTTTTCACTTACAGCATGAGCTTTTCTTTGTGTCTCTTTCTGTTTTTCTTGTAAAGATTTTTTTTGTGCACACTTATTATTTGCAGCAAAACATATCATGGAGATTTAAGTACATCCAATTTACTACAGTCGATGATTTCATTTTTCAAACCAATCATACTTGATAGATGGAAATTGTCAGTGGATCTCTTGATTTTACCATTCCCTTAGTTCTTTTTTTTTTTTTTTTAATTACTTTATTTCAGAGTCTTGTTTAATGCTTCAGCCTATGGGAGAAAGCATACTCTGCATTTCAGCACAATGAAATTGTACCTTAAACAATCATAAAATTCAGTTTCCTTGAGAAACAGTAATGTGACTTGAATGTTTTGGGTTTGATTACATTCTGCCTGGACTGCACAGGAGAATGGTACTGAACGATAGCTGCTGTATCTACTGCCAAGATACACTGTGAGCCAACAAGCTGTGGACCTGAGCAGTGAACAAAGAAACTCTCCCTTTCCCGGGAAAGGAGAGACAGCCACAGGTTCTTGTTTCTGAAACAACCTGTGAGCAAGAGGAATTGCAATAATACTAGTAATCGTTTGTCCCAATCAGTCCTGGTACTGTATGTGGTGTAATACGGAATCTTTACTTCGCAGTAGCTGTGAAAGGAATGCTTTTTTTTTTTTTTTGTAAATGTCACAAAATAGTAAAATTTACAAAGCATAAAATATGATAAAAGGCACCTACAGCACATGACTCCATTTCTACAAAACTCCCTTACAGCTAAAACTGTACGTGTTAGAAAACTGGTGGGTTTTATCTGAAATCCTATTTTAATGCAGTTTTGTTTCAAAGTAGCATTTAGGATGTGAGTATACAATTCATATTAAACGAATGGAAGTATTCTATGATTATAAATGCTGATATCAGTTATGTTAAAACGTGGTTTGTATTCTGCAGCTGTGGGCATAGTTTGGGAAACAGCCAAGTCTAGCTGCTCAAGCCTTTTATTTCAATCTCATGGATTCCTCTTCCACAGCTGCTTTTAAAATTTGTGGCAAGCAAATTATTTCCCATACTGCATATGTTGCCCTTCAGGTGAGTGATAAACTGCAAACTTTAGGCTGGTTGTAAGAAGCCACAAAGCAAAATTAACTTTGTCACTGAAGTCCTCTGTGTGCACAGAATTAAAAAAATGACCTGGGCGAGGCTGTGTGTGAAGCCAGCTGTCTTTTGTTTCCATTGCCATTTGGACATTGTAAGAGCAAAACGTTGTCAGCACGTTTTTTTATATTAGAAGATTTGATCTGCAAATCTCAGCTGCTCTGTTCATTATAAATCTCTTGTTTTTGTCCATACACTAGCTCCACTATAGGTTGGAAGGGCTTAAAGATGAACTCAGGAGGAATAGAGGCTACAACTCGAGAGTAACTATTACTGCTCAAAGGAGCTGTTTTCCATTCGCAAACATGGCTTTGCGCTATGGGTTTGGGCTCCTTCTGTTCCTCCACTTTGTTGAAGACTCTCTCTTGACTTCCATTTTACTTCTTCAGCACTGTCTTTGTCTGCTAACATTTTTCCTCTTTCTCTAGTAGCTTTTCTCTGTGTCCTTTGGATCGCTTATTTTACTTCGTTTTAGTAGATTGTTTCTGAATGTTTGTGTTTTGTATTCTTTGGTTTTGCCTTTTTTTTTTTTTTTTTTTTGTTGTTGTTGTTCGTTTAGGACTATGTTATCTCACTAAGTTTCATTCCACAGTTTGCTAAATTGCTTGGTTATTTTGCAGCAGGCCCATTCCTCGTTTTCTCTTTTCATATGGTTTTCAGTGAGAAATAAGAGAGCCTCTTCCATTTTAAACAGAAGTCTATACACGTAGGCCCATGTCTCCTTTTGCATTCACTTGTCTTTTGGCTTGCCACATGCGATCTCGCTTCTCCCCTTCTCTCTGTCTCTCTTTCTCACTGAGCACCTCTCTCTTTCGTGCTTCCCTTCATGTCATTAAACCATCTTTTGGTCCAGAATTGTCCTTTGGTAAATTATAGATAAATATTTTCTTATTATAAAGAGAGTTTATGTCATGCCTTTAAAATTGGGGAAAAAAAAAACAACTCTGGGCCAAATTTGGGCATCATTAATATTTCATTTGAAGTTTTCTTGTATGGTATTTTTGGTGGGAAGGAGGGAGGGATTTTTTATTTTTATTTTTTTAAAGAAACATTTTTTTCAGGGCAGGACACCATAACCCACTCTAAGTTGCAACATTACTTTCCATAAGTTATTCCATTACTATAAATAGATTGTGTTACGCTGTAGAATACGGTATTTTATGTGAATATACATTTGGGGCAAGCTGCTGTGGAATGGAAGAAAGAGGTTTAGAAATTGGTTCATTTCAGACTTCAGGGACTGCTCTTTTACGAAGGCAGCCTTTGGGGGATTGACTGTGTATCATAACTGTCAGATCATACATATTTACTTTCTATGCATTTGTTCTGTAACTACAAATCCAACCTGAATTCTGAAAGATAATCTGGATTCATTCCTTCGCTTTCTCAGCAGAGACAAATGTTCTCTGCAAGGGAAATTACACCCTGTGTGTCACCTGTGCTATTCCACTTCCTTAACTACATCTACATAATTTTATTGTATTAGTCATCTCACGGAAATATACAGTATCCCTGTGAATGATGTGCAAAAGAGGATGTACTCTGTTCATCCTCCTGTTAGGGGGTTGTCTTCCAGAGAAGTTTCCTTTAGCTTGTGGCTGCAACTTCAACCACACCATAAAGCTTTTTGCTGCAGTGTGAGCAGTTCAGTCAGGTGACGTGGCCTAAAACAGGCTTCAGGTTAGTGCATCTCCCAACTTGCAACTTCATTGTCCTGTGCAATGTGGTGTTTTTCCAAACTTGAGAAGAATTAACAAGCGATGATGCTTCACCAAAGATACAGCTTAACCTGTGTTGTGTCCACAAGCCTGATAACCTCCAAAACTTGTTTGTTTTATTGTTGTTGTTGTTCTTTTTTTTAAATCTATAAAGTAAAGAGACAGAACTCTAAAAGCAAGTGCTAACTAAAATATTAGACCAAGGAGAGTCCTCCACTGGAGTCAGACTAATAAATCTGGAATAGCACAGGGACAGCCAAGCAGCTAGGAAGAGCATTTGTTGAGAAGGCAGTTGCTGTTCTGACACTGTTACTTTTTACAATAAAAATGCAGTATAAAATTAATCCCAAATACTGCATTTCTTTTAGCCAAACTGAAACAATAGAGTAAATTTCCCTGGCTTTAGCCAAGAGCTTTCATACAACTCTGAGCTGTTTATACAGTTATGAAGAAGGATTATTAAATATCTTAAGAAGCAACCTAATCTATATTTAATATATTTTGAATATATTTAAATTGTTTCTTTGATACCTGGAAGTTTTAACAGCGGAGTTGTAAAGCAGGTCATGAAAAGACAGTGATATTAGTATTTTGTTTATAAACTTAGGTTCAAACTTAAAATAATCATAATTATATGAGAAAATGTGGAATTTTTATATAAAACTGGAGTTTAACAAATAATTTTAAATAGTGTGTTCTTTGATTTTATTGTTATTACCCTGTTCTTAGCCATCTTGTTTATTGTTAGGGGAGTTTTAAATTGCTTGTCGCAGACTCTGACCATCAACTATTACTCTTCTGCTTAAATATTTTAATCTTGTGTAGAGTATGCAAGAATGATACTGAAAATATGTAGAGCCTCTGTCTTAGATCCCAGGAGCTTGCCCATTATATCTCTGTATTTTGCATGCTTGTTAACTTCTGTAGCTCACAAGCTCTGTGCTCTCTTTGCAGGTCCAGTCCAGGTGCAGCAGCAAGGAGAATATCCTCAGAGCAAGTGAGTGCTGAAACTTTCTGACTTTTCTGTGATTAAAAGAAAAAAAA